GATAACTAGAAAGTAATAATTAAAATAAAAAATGCATAATTATATATATATAACTTAAATATCAAACATATTTTGTATTTTATGTCAAAATACTGTAATTTACAAGCCTCACAACTCAAAAAGTACTTAATAAAAATAACTTCATTATAGTGTTTTGAAAAGCTCTTGACACCAGCTATTAGATTTTGGAATCAAAAATAAGGGTTTCTATTTAAAAAACCTAACCTAACCTTGAAATGACCTTGAAGGTCAAGCTCAAAGTCAAATTGAAGGTCACCGTTGAATTCCTCGTTGAAAATTACTTCAGAAATGACCTTGACCTTTTTCAAAAATACCTTACATGAGAAAATATTCAGCCGTCCCGGGACTTAATTGACACCCTGTATATACTTACTATTGTATCTGAAATGCTGTGCACGTGGTTCCAATATTAATAAGTTAATTGCTGCAATATTTGCTGCTCCTTGGTCGCAAACAGTAGCTTTTGGTTTAAAACCACACCTTTGCAGAAGTGTCAGCCATGTTTTTATATATCTTGAAAGTTGAATAGACGAAGTTGCACCATTACAGAAGCCATAACCAATAGACATTTTCTGTCCAGATGCTAAACACCTTATATGAAATAAAATTGCATGATCTGCAAATTTTCTGGTTCGTCTCATTCCCCAGTCTTCAAATCCAATAATTTTGTCATTTTTAATATCATATGTAAGTGCAGGTTGAATAGCCATTTCATCCCAAGCAAGTACAACATATAAGTCTTTCAAATCCATTTTACTAGCACTTAATGTAAGATATTTTGAAATAATGTTGTTACATCCAGTATCAATTGGAATGCGATTTAATTGTGTATTTAAAGAATTAAAAGATGGACATAATAGAAATTTGGATATAAAATTGTAACAGGAACGAGATCTACGATAAATGCCTAAGCAAAATATCTTATCTTCTAATGTATAATGTCTTGCCTATGTAAAAATATGTACAAATGTTAGTATGTAAAGTTAGTATATGGAGACTGACAAAGTATATACAAATAAATAATTATATTACCTGTGGTGCAACATCATTATTTCTTATTAACATATTTACAAAATTTTCTCGTACTTTTGCAGTCTCTGCTTGGCCTTTATATTCCTTTCTGCTCAATATTATTTTCTTAACTTTGTTTTGTTGTTTCATTCTGTTTATATATCTTTTCATACGTCTCTTCTGTGCTAGCAGTTTTATTTTATTGTCATACATCTTTTGTGCTATTGGAGATAAATTTTTCTTCCGTGTTATGTTTGCCAAATTAGATCTTGCTTGTAATTTTTTATTTAATGCTTCTAAAGATTCTAATCTTTTTGTTATTTTTTGTAGTTGAGCATGATCTTGATCTTGTAGTAGAGCATGATTCACTTGCATTTAAGCATAATTTACTTGCATTTGGGACAAGTTTTGTATGTTTATTTGCACTTGTATGGCATTATCTTGTAAATCTGTAATTGCTTCTTGGTGTTGCTGTAAAATTTCTTCATGTTGTAGACCTTGTTCATTTTGCTGTAGGATTTCTTCATGTTGTAAACCTTGTTCATTTTGCTGTAGGATTTCTTCATGTTGTAGACCTTGTTCATTTTGCTGTAGAATTTCTTCATGTTGTAGACCTTGTTTATTTTGCTATAGGATTTCTTCATGTTGTAGATCTTGTTCATTTTGCTGTAGGATTTCTTCATGATGTTCAATATTATATACCTCTGTTTTTAGGTTAGGTTCTATTGCTATCATAGAAGGAACAGCAGCTCGAATTAATCTTCGAAGTTTATTACTTCCACTATAATCGCTTTCTTTAAAATGTTTGTAACATACTCGTAGTTTATTAATTTCGTTTTCTTGATATGGTTTCAAGGTTAAATTTTGTATCCACTTTTCGCACATCAGTAAATCTTTCGGAAAAGTGTGTGATGGAGTAGTACCTGTTGAAGTACAGTTAAGCACACAACACGCTCTACCTATTTTGATTATTTTTTTTATTCAGTTTTTATGTTTAATATCACAATGCAAAAATTGAAAAAATTTGATACGTTGAGACACGTGATCTATGTGCCGACGGCTGATGCAGACCAGCAGACTGACCGGCGGACGCAATATGCCGGCACCACTTAGTTTCAGTCCTGGGTCTGCCACTCAATGAGGGCGCTACAAACACTGGTACCGAAAAACCCATATAGGTTTATCGCCCCTGAGAGCAACCTCTCTCCGTCGGCGGGAATAGCGGAAAGTCGAACGCCGGGAGCACCCTGGCTTCGAAGAGGGAGCAACCTCTCTTCGTCGACGGGAATAGCGGTTGACTGCCTTGGGAGCTCCCTGAGGCAGTGCTTCGGTAGGACTTCGGATCGGGACAGGTGCCGTTATGCTGGCCGAGCCGGCTTTTATACCCGGCTTGGGCCTCCCACCCGCGAGTATCGGTCGCGCGGTGGGAGCGGTCTCCACGCTGGGGCGTCGCATAGGCGCGAGCGCTCGTGGGCGTCATAGGCGTCGAGCCTATCTTCGGGCGGTCGGGTGCTGTAGGGACGGTGTGTGAAACGCATCGTCACAATACAAACACGAGTCATTGGGAGATGAGGATTGTTTATACAAAAATGATTCATAGTTCCGAGAATTGTTTATATCCTTTGCATGCACATGCCGGTTTTTTCTACACATCAAAGTAGAGCGCCTGTTTAAATTACATCATCGCTATTTTTAGAACAGACAATGGAGGAGGTGATAAAGAATGATTATACAAATTTAGGCAGCGCCATGTTGCCAGATTTCAATATGTGTGACATCATCGCTATTTTTAGAGCAAAAGCCCATAGCAACAGGCAGCCACGTCAGCATTTTAGGCGCCATGTTGACAGATTTCAATTTTTTGTGACATTATCGCTATTTTTAATTAGTGTCGTGTGCAACAAGCGGGTATATAAAGCAAGTGAAAAAAAATATGAATCTTTAAAGTCATTCGCAATGGAGATGGAGCGTGATCTCACCGTTCGAACTGCAAACATTAAAACGTTGGGGGAGTTCCTCCCATGGGACTACGAGTGCGACGAGTACCTCAATATATTGAGGGAAAAATGTCGCAAGAAGCAACGAACCGGAGTAGTCAACTCTCTGGTGGCGCAAATTGTGCGTCTGGAGGGTGTGATGAGGTGTTTCTGCGTGTACGAGCGTTTGTGCCCGTCGGCGCCGGATACGAGAAGAAGGGCTACACGTGGAGATCGAGACGGCGTTTAGGAACCGTGTGCTGACGGGTGCGGTTGTCAATCACGAATACATCGATCCTCGTGAATTTTTGGAAAATATAAAAAATGCGATTATCGAGCGGATCCAAAGCGTCATGGCGGAGCATGGGAACGTTAAAATCAATGCCGCGTTTAACGGGGAATTTATCGCGGGTGACAAGACTGCCGTGAAGACCATCGCTACGAAGAATCAAAAGATATATCCAACATCTGATCTAAACCAGTGGTATACGAAGCATGTGGTTGACACCATCCTGACGTCTCTAGAGGAGTTTCAGGAACGCGATAGTGGATGGGCGTTGTCACGTATCTTGGACTTCACCATCAACGTCAACAAATTCAATCCTCTACGCGCGGGATGCCACATTCAGTTACCGCGGAAAATTATGCTAAAAAGGGCGGTGGTCAACGTGCAATCGACGGACAATGCGTGTTTCGCGTGGGCAGTCGTCGCCGCTTTACATCCAGCGAAAAAACACCCGGAAAGAACAATCGAATACCCACATTACTCGACGGTGCTCAACCTGTGTGGTATCGAGTTCCCCTTGACGCTTCCGCAAATATCAAAATTCGAGAAACTGAACACCATCTCCGTCAACGTCTTTACCACCGAAGACTCCAAAATCATCCCTTTGCGCCTCGCCGACGACAAGATGGAGAAGCATGTCAACCTTCTCTATGTGCCTGGAAACAACGAGGCACACTTTGTGTGCATCAAGAATCTGTCTCGGCTAGTGAGCTCGCAACTGAGCAACGAAAAATGTAAAAAATACATTTGCAATTGATAAGTAAAAACACATTTATAGCATAATTCAAAACTTTATTAATTATACAAATTATTACAGGTGTCTACACTATTTTCGGACGAGCGAGAAATTATCGGCGCACAGCGTCGACTGCGGCAAGATAAACAATTGCGCCGTAGTTCTCCCCAGCGAGGACAACAAGTGGCTGACGTTCCGCAACTACAACCAAAAGGAACGACTCCCGTTCGTAGTGTACGCCGATCTCGAATGCACGCTGGAGAAGGAGAAGGAGGGACAAAACCGTACCACACACGCCTACCAACATCACAAGGCGTTTAGCGTAGGATATTATGTAAGTTGTACATACAATAACTCATTATCTAGTTTTAAGTCTTATCGCGGTGAGGATTGCGTAGCATGGTTCGTCAATGAACTCCATGATTTGGCGCGCCGTGTGAAAGCAATCCTTACCACCGTCGTCCCCATGGCGGATCTTACGCGAGGAGGAAATCGGAAAAATTCCATAGCGCTGTTAATTGCCACGTGTGTGAAAAACCGTTTGCACCGGAAGATACGCGGGTGCGCGATTATTGCCATCTGACCGGGCGTTACCGAGGTCCCGCGCACTCGTCGTGCAATCTAAATTACAGAGATTCCCACGTTATCCCGGTAATTTTTCACAATTTATCTGGTTACGACGCGCATTTCATTATTAAAGATGTCGCTAACGCCTTTGAAGGCAACATTGATTTACTGCCGCTGACAAAAGAGCGATACATTTCATTCACTAAAAACGTTAAAAATACGGAAGATCAAAATTACAAAATTTGTGTGAAATTACGGTTTATAGATTCGTTTAGATTTCTCGGCACAAGTCTCGATAAATTGGCATCGTATATGACAACAGACGAATTAGAAATTTCACGTTCCGAATTTAGCTATTTATCCGCGGAAAATTTCAATCTTCTTACGCACAAAGGTGTGTTTCCCTACGAGTACATCGACAGCGTCAACAAGCTCCGGGAGACTTGCCTACATCCGCGCGAATCATTTTACAGTTCGCTCACCGGAGAAACAGTATCCGAGAGCGATTACGCGCACGCGACAAACGTTTGGCAAACTTTTTCGATCGAAATTTTTGGACAGTACAGGGATTTGTATCTAAATACGGATGTTCTTTTGTTGGCGGATATTTTTCAAAATTTCCGAAACACGTGTATAAAGAGTTACGGTTTAGATCCCGCACAGTATTACACTTTACCGGGATATACGTGGGACGCCATGTTGAAGCACACGAGCATCAAGTACGAGTTGCTCACAGACATCGACATGGTCCTGTTCGTTGAGCGCGGTATACGCGGTGGTCTTAGCCAATGCTCCAACAGATACGCTCGCGCAAATAATAAATACATGTCATCGTACGATCCATCGAAACCATCATCGTATCTTATGTACTTTGATGTTAATAACTTGTACGGCTGGGCAATGTGTCAACCGTTGCCCTATGCCGATTTTCAGTGGGTCGAAAATGTCGCGAGCTTTGATGTAATATCCGTTGCATCCGATTCGGCTACCGGTTATGTGTTGGAAGTCGACCTTGCGTATCCGGTGAATCTTCACGACGCGCACACCGATCTATCGTTCTGCCCGACGCGCGATAAGCCGCCCGGCAAGCGGGAGGTCAAGTTACTTGCTACGCTGTGCGATAAGCAGCGATACGTCATTCACTACCGTAACCTGCAACAATGTATTCGACACGGGTTGCAGGTTACAAAGATTCACCGCGTACTGCAATTCGCGCAATCTCCATGGCTTCGAGGATACATCAAACTAAATACACAATTTCGGACACGGGCGACAATCGAATTCGAGAAAAATTTATACAAATTGATGAACAACGTGGTTTTCGGCAAAACCATGGAGAATGTGCGAAATCATACGGACGTACGGCTCGTTACACAGTGGGAGGGTCGGTACGGAGCGGAGGCTATGATTGCCAAACCAAATTTTCACAGCCGAAGCGTGTTCTCGGAGAATCTAGTCGCCGTAGAGTTGCGAAAACTTGAAGTGAAATTCGACAAACCGATCTACATGGGTATGTGTATCCTCGACATATCCAAGACCTGCTTGTACGAGTTTCACTACGAGTACATGGCACCTCTCTACCGCGACAATTGCAAAATTATGTATACCGATACCGACAGTCTGATATACTTTCTACAATGCAAGAACGTATATCACGATATGAAACGCAATCTTTCAAAATTCGATACGAGCGACTACTCCGAGGACAACGTTTACGGTATACCGCGCGCCAACAAGAAAGTACCCGGTCTGATGAAGGATGAGAACAACGGCGCGATCATGACGGAATTTGTCGGACTGAGGGCAAAAATGTAAGCGTTGAGAGTCACCGGACAAAAAGATACCAAAAAGGTTAAAGGTGTAAAGAAAAATGTAGTCGCTAGAACGATAACGTTCGACGATTACACTCGGTGTCTCAACGACGAAATCGAGCTAACGCGGCGTCAATCGTGCATCCGCTCAAAGATGCACGAGGTGTACACCGTGTTGGAGTCGAAGCTCGCGCTCAGTCCGTACGATGATAAGCGGCACGTCGTATCCGGTTCCACCGACACTTTACCATGGGGACATTACAAGATACAATTGTAAATAATGCTTAGTAATTTATAAAGTTTAATATTTTATGTATTATTGTCATTATTAGTTTTAAATGTATATATTGTAACATGTTGTAGTAATGAAGAACATCATTGTATATAAATGTATAATAGTTTATTATAATGCAATAAAATATACATAGTTTATTACAATACATCGTCTTCATTTATCCAAGAATTATGCAACTTGTCGAATTCCAACCACTTTACAAATACCTTATCCTTCTTTCGGCGCAACACTTTCTCCACGAGATAAACGTCGGGTTGAGCGGTCTTGAGCAATTCGTACTCGTAAAAGCCTCCCGTGACCGGATCTCCGCGATAATTTTTAATCAGATACGTCACAGGATTGGTACGTTGCACCGTGGCGATCTTAAACACCTCCGTCGACCAATTCGGCGTGTATCCTTTCTCGAATACAGTTTTGAATTTGCTCACGCGCACCGGATCACCCACCCTGAATTTTGCCGGCGCGGCAATCTTTATTCTACTGTACACCGTGGACAAAAGTCTCTTTGCGATCGCAGGAGTGACATCGATCGGTCGCATGCCGATCGTACGATGTTCACAATTATTGTATTCCAAGACCAATCGCAGTAAATCGTCGATCCACTTGTACGATCCCGTGAGCGTAAAAAACTTCCACATTTCGTTCTTTAACGTGCGATTGAATCGTTCCACCACCGAAACTTTCATGACCGAGTATGTCGACTAATGATTGATGCCGTATTTCTTGACAAAATTTTGGAAATCTCTGTTGTAAAATTCTTTTCCATGGTCGGTCTGCAAATTTTTTGGAATTCTCTCCCTAAATATCGCGGAAAATGCTTTGGACGTTTCAATTCCACCTTTGGTCTTTAAGGGCATGGCCCACGCGTACTTGCTCAACACATTGGTAACGGTTAGAATGTAGTTGTAGCCGCCGTTGGATCGCAAGTACGGTCTCATCTCGACAATGTTAGTCTGCCACAGATCATCGTATCCTTTCACGACGACTGGCCTACGCGTAAAGTTTCTTCTCGCCGGTGCGTGGAGCTCGTCCACGAGCGATCTCTTCTCCAGGCTCACCGCTTCCTTCTTGCTCATTGCGATTCGTTTTGCTTCTTCTTCATTGCTTCATAGTATTTGATAGTATTTGATGAAATTTTTTCTCATAGCTCTACGAAGATTGAAAATCTCTCGCTCGACAAGACTCTTCGTCTCTCGCTCGCGATCGACGAGTTTTCAATCGAGTCGCGCTACACTCTCGTCGAGGAGACCTCTCAGATCGTGAATCTGGCGTTCCAACGTCACGTATCTGGTCTCGATGTAATCGTCGTGGTCCCTCTTTCAGGTCCGCTCGGTATTCTCCAAATCTTCGAATCGCAAAAGTACTTCTCGCTTAAAATTTTCATGGAGCATACGATCTCGATTCGCACGATCGCTCATAAGCTGGAAGTGATGATCCAGATGCAGCTTGTTGACGGCGCCGGTGTCCGCTTCAGGGTCGGCGAGATGTCTGATTACGCGTGACATGGCGTTGAAAACTTCACCATCCTTGCAGAGACAATGCTCGCGCACGTAATTCTTCGAGACTCCGCCGCTCCACGATCCATGTCTCGTCACCCTGTTGCTTCCTCCTCCTAACTGTAGTCCGAATTTGTTGATAGACATTTCTGTAGCATCGCACGAGCAATACTGGTTACAGCGGTGACAATGACGATCAATTTATAATCAGACCGGCTTCGCGCAGTTCCTCGATAATCGAGAAAAACTCGTTGTCGTGCGCGTTGTTTCCCGCCTGACGGGAGGCGTCCAGCAATCGAAGGCGATCCACCAATTCGTTCGGATCATCCCAGTGCACGTAATCGATCGCGTTGTCGGTTACAGTCATGGTCTGTGGTTCGTTACACTTGGGTAACGTGCGACCCGCACCTCTCTTGTCGAGATGTGCAACACCTCCACCTTTCTTAGATATCAGAGGAGTGATAATATGTTTGTATTTGTATCCTTTGTTTCCCAAAATAGGTAAATGCGCGTTATGATTGCGTCTGTGAGCGTTAGTAGCGCGTAGTATGCTCTTGTACTTTTGTTTGTCATCCTCCGTACACAGCGTATCGTCGGGAAGTCTTTTAAATATTAATTCAAACAGACCGGGCGTGCCCGCGTATTTCACACCGTCCACAATTAAATTGTCGTCTCTATCAATGTCGAAGGCTTTGTCTCCGAGAAACGTTCCCGCATCGTTGAAGTATACGCCGTACACGTTGTCGATCCCTCTTTTCTTGTCATCGCTCAAGAGCTCCCCGATGTACTCTTGGCCCAGCGGACCCATTTGACCATACAGAGCTTCCCGACCATCGGACGATTGCATCGTCTGTCTCACGGATGTTACGAAAGACGGGTCCGTGGTTTCGAACACGTTTTCGGTCGGTAAAATTGTCGGCGCTTTAAACACCAATTTTTGCGGTTGGAACGGAGTCGAGGCTTGTTTCGGTGACGTCAACGGGGTCTGTATCGGTGTCGTCAACGAGGTACGCTTGATTTTCTTCTTTTCAGAGCTCGACCGCTTTCGTTTGATGTCCGGTTCGTTTTTAATCTCGTGATCGTCAACTGAATCATCGTCACCCTTGATGTTCTCGACGATTTGTTTCAACGGTTCTACGATCGGTTTCAACAGATTCTCCAATTGCACCTCTTGCTCCACTCTACCCGTCTTCAACGTCCGATGCTTCTTGCGAATCGACTCGCTCGTACGAACGATTTCCTTCGCGATTTTCTCCCTCTCGTCGATATCTTTCGTGTCGAGCGTCATCGTCAACGTCTCGAGAACAACTAACCATTCCGCGGTACCGCAAACTCGTTAAAAGCACGTCTGTATCGTCCATCGTTAATCGTACTATCCTTGTCTATCACTAAAAATCCGTACTTGTGCTGCCAACATGCGTGACACAATGTACTGAAATCTTCATACGTCATGTCCGTATTCACATGATTGTTGTAGACATGCTTAAGGTTTGTTCCATCCTGCTTGAATATTACGAGTAAATTCGCGTTGTCGCGCACGAGATGTTTCGGTATTTTTGCATATGTTTGGCACAGATAGAAACAATCGACTTTCGAATGTCGACCCATAGCAAAGTACTCGCGTATCGCATTCTGCTTGTCGCACGCTATATCGTCAAAGAAGAATACGGAATTCGGTAATGCCTCGCTGTGCGGTACAATTGTGTTGTTGTCTGAGAATGTAAAGTAGCCGATTTCATCGATCGATCCGAGCAATCTTTCGAGATATCGATACTTTGGTTGATTCAACGATTTTGAGTACACGTACACGTTTTCGAAACGTACACCGTTCGGAATTTCCAGCAGACTAATCATTACATTGGTTTTACCGCAATTCGAGGGACCGCAAATGATACCGCGTATCGTGTTTGGCAGCATTTTACCATGTTTGCACGCCTTCTCACAAACCCCTTGCGTCTTATCATCCATGTTTTTCACACAGATCGTGTACGGTTGTTGTACAAATTTCATTTTTTACCAGACTCTTTCTCATCCTTGTTATTACGCGACGAGTGCGCAGCATCGGAAGTTGGAAAGAGCGGTGCTCGGATATTTGTTGCTAGATCTAAAATATCTCTATTTCCATACATAATTCGGACATTATCCTAGAAAAAAATATTGTTTCAAACACACGATTAGCAATACACGTTTGCGACATTCGCCT